CACGCAGGCTCCAGGCTCTGAGCTGTCACCACAGAGCCCGATGCGGGGCTTGACCCCACAAACCGTGAGACCATGACCTGAGCTGAAGTCTGACGCTTAAATGACTGAGCCACCAGGCGCCCCAAAATAAAATTTATTTAAAAAAGAAATCCACATACACCAATAATCAAAATAATGCATTTAAAACAATCGCCATAGAAACCGCAGTCTATGAGGCTCGACAAAAACAGGCCCAGCTGCTTTCTGTTCACAGGACACCAGCTTCAGGGCGACGCCGCAGGACAGCGGGCTGGGCGGGCGGCTGCCCCCAGGCTGCCCCCGGACTGACCCCCGGATTGCCCCCGGACTGACCCCGCGCTGACCCCGGACTGACCCCGCGCTGACCCCGGGCTGCCGCGGCTGCAGGGCCGCAGCTCCCCTCCGGGGGGCGCGTCTGGGGCCGAGAGCCCTTCTGCGCCCCGCGCTCCGCACGCGTCTGGGTCTGGGGGCGCAGCCCCAGAACACCCTTCTCCAGCGTCCCCTGGGAGTGAACATCGACCACTTACGGATCCACAGGGAAGTCTCCACACTGCAGATCAACAGCAATCTGACCGCTGACTACCGAGGTTACGACTGATTTCGAAATCAAGGGGCGCCCGGGGGGCTCAGTCGGTGGAGCGTCCGACTTCGGCTCAGGTCATGATCTCAGGGTCCGCGGGCTCGAGCCCCGCGTCGGGCTCTGTGGGGACGGCTGGGAGCCTGGAGCTGCTTCGGAGTCTCTCTCCCTCTCTCTCTGACCCCCCCCCCCCCACTCACGCTGTCTCTCTCAGAAATTTAAAAAAAAAAAAAAAAAATTCGAAATCAAGACGAGAGGAAACCGCCAGTGTCAGGGGGTTGTTTCTGCCAAGGGAATGGGCGGCGGAGGCGGCAAGTTTCTTTCGAACAAACCACCTCGGCCACCGAGGGCCCTTCCCGGAGTTCGCCGGCCCCCCGGCCCCCCGCCCCGCGACGTCCCAGCCCAGGCCCGCCCCTCAGCCTGGGCCCCGCCCGCGGCTCGGCCCGCGGCTCTGGCTCCGCCCCCTCCCGGCCCGTCACTCAGCGAAGGCCCCGCCCCCGACCCGGCCTTGGGCCCCGCCCCCGGCCCGCTCTCCGCGCTGGCCCCGCCCCCAGCCTCTCGCCGTCACTTAGCGCAGGCCCCGTCCCCAGTCAGCCCCTCGGCCTCGGTCCGGGGCCCTCTCTCCCGCTCGGCCCCACCCTCGGCCCCCAGCCCGTCACTCGGCGCTGGCCCCGCCCCCGGCCGGCCGCTAGGGCTCTGCCCCGCCCCCGACCGCACCCTGCCCTGTCACTCAGCGCAGGCCCCCACCCCCGGCCCGTCGCTCGGCCTCGGCCCCGCCCCTGGCCGCACCCTGTCGCGTCACTGGGCCTCGGCTCCTCCCCCGCCCCGGCCCCGCCGCGTCGCTCGGCCGGCCCTCGGCCCCCGCCGGAAGCAGCGAGGCTGGCTGGCGGCGACTCCAAACGTGAGCACCAGGCGGCGCTCGTGAGCCGCGCGGAGCCCGGCGGGCCGCGACTCCCAGAGGGAGGCGTTTGGGGTCCCCGCGTTGGAACTGGGCCAAGGTTGCCCCCTAGGCTGCTAGCGCCTGGCCTGTCTACCCCTCGTCTCAAAATCATGTCCTCGAAGCCCCACTTTTGGATCCGACAATTGCCAGGGGGAGAAATAGACATAAACATCCCTTTTGTTCACCCCTGGGGCGGAGCCCACGGGGCAGGCAGCGGGGCAGGGCACAGGCTGCGGGCAAGCGAGGCGGCGGCGTGGGCTACCGCCGACCGCACGTGCAGGCCCGCAGACAAGCCCTGCCCCTCGGCCTTGGCATCCTGGGTCGCTGCCTGGGGCTCTGCTGGCACCTGGACGCCCTTGCTCCTCCCACGGGCCCTGAGGCGCTTCCTGCCCCCCTTCCGTCCTGTTTGCAGTGAACATACCAAGGACATTGTGTTCAAAGCTAAAAGAAGTTTTAAATGCATCGAGAGGCTCTTGGGGCACCTGGGTGGTTCAGTTGGTTGAGCATCAGCCTCTTGATTTCACAGTGTGTGTGATGGAGCCCGGAGTTAGGCTCTGTGCTGAGCGTGGAGCCTGCTTGGGATTCTCTCTCCCTGCCCCTCCCTGCTCATGCTCCCTTTCACAGTAAATAGACTTGAGTGCTCGCTTCAGCAGCACATATACAAAATAAATAGAATTTAAGAAATATATATTGGGTTCATAGCAGCACTCTCAACAATAGCCAAATCATGGAGGGGCGCCTGGGTGGCTTAGTCGGTTAAGCGTCTGACTTTCGCTTAGGGCATGATCTCGCGGTTCGTGGGTTCGAACCCCGCGTCGGGCTCTGTGCTGACGGCCAGCTCGGAGCCTGGAGCCTGTTTCAGTCTGTGACTCCCTCTCTCTCTGACCCTCCCCTGCTC